CCGCCCCCCAGCTCGCCTGGGACCCCGGGCAGCTCCACCGCCCCTCCCTGGGCCCCAAATCCCAATCTCACATCACCCCCGCACACATAGTCACCTCACTGCCCCTCACATCACCTCTCAGCCCCTGAAAGCTGAACCCCACATCAGCTCCCAGCCCCCCAATCTCAACCCTTCAACTTCTTCAGGAATCACATGCACCCCCATTGCTCCCCTATCCCCTACATGACTCCGGGGCCTCCACAGCCTAGCCTTCCCCAGGGCCCCCCAGTGACCTCCTCAGCGCCCCCCTCCCCACCCGCATACACTCCCGTAGCTGCCTCAGCGCCTCTATCCCAGAGGTCTGCTGCCTCTCCTGCCTCCCCCGGCCTCCTCTCCACCCTCCGAACACCCAGTACTCCCCTTCTACATCCCCCTGAGACTTTGCCCTCAAGTCCAAACCCCATTCCCCTCGGTCACCCCCGCACACACACTCACCTCACTGCCCCTCAGGCCCGTGCAGGTACCGTCACTGCCCTGCTCGAGTCACAGACCACAGGCCTCCTCAGCTGTGCCAAACAAGGATGGGACACAGCTGAGGGCTTCCTCTGGGAGGGAGGGTCTCCCTCCCCTGGTTTTCATGTAGAAGTGGTTCTCAAAGTGTGGTCTCTAGGCCAGAAGGATCAGCATCACTTTGAAACTTGTTAGAAATGCGAATTCCCTGCCCCACCCCAGACCTATGATATCCACATCTCTGGGAGCAGCGCCAGGAAATCTCAGTGATTCTGATGCACACAAACCACTGCCTTAGACCAAACATACAAAACCAAACCAAAGGCCACCCCTGAACAATGAAATCCTGAGAAATGAGAATGCCTGCAAGTCCAGCCCCCATCCAGGTTCCTCGGAGGGACAGGCCTGAGGCATGGAGGGTCCAAGACCGCAGCACTCACCATGGAGTCCACGCCCCTGCCTCCAGAACACTGGGCCTCAGCCTTGCCCAGGCTTGCCCAGGGAATTTCTTAGGGGGTTGCTTCCCTTCCCCTGAAAATTTCCCTGGATGGTCTCTGTGGTGGACTCCCAGCAGCCTCGGGCCCTGGGCCTGAGCTAACCAGCCCCACACTGCCAGGGGTGGGGGTGGCCGCCCCCCTCCCCGGGCCTCAACCTCCTGACCTCCCCATGCATCTTCCAAACTTGACCCCACCTGCTTTGCTTCAAACCACAGCCCATAAAGCCTCTGGCATTTGATCCGTCCCAGCAAACTGTTTTCACCACCAGAAACCTCTGCAAGAGTTTTGGCCAACAGCAACAAAAAGAGTTTTCACAATAAAAAAAAAAAAAATGTTCTCTAAAGTGGGGTTTCCCAAACTTCTTCCTTCTCTCATCCTCATAAATTTTTGCCCAATCCACCCTCTGTCTGCACTATTGTCACCTACATATTTTTTCAATTAAACTTTTTATTTTGAGGTACTTGTAGATTCACATGCAGTTTTAAGATACAATACAGAAAGACTCTGTGTACCCTTTACCCAGTCTCCCCCAATGACAACATCTTGCAAAACTATCTCTACAACATTGCTATTGACATTGAAACAGTCAAGATATGAACATTTCCATCACCACAAAGATCCCTCCTGCGTGGTGCCCTTTTAGGGCCGTACCCTCCTCCCTCCCACCCTCACCCCTTCTTAGCCCCTGGCAACCACTAATCTGAGCTCTATTTCTATACTTTGGTCATTTCCAGAATGTTATAAAATTGGAATCATGAGTATGTAATCTTCGGGGACTGGCTTTTTTCAGTCAGCATGACTCTTTGGAGATTCATCCAAGTTGTTGCATGTATCAATAGTTCGTTACTTTTATTGACAAGTAGTGTCCCAAGGTATGGATGTACCAGACTTGTTTTTATTCGTCCACGCATTGAAGGACACCTGGGTTGTTTCCAGGTTTTGGCTCTTATGAATAAAGCTGTGATAAACATTCATGTACAGGTTTTTATGTGAATATAAGTCTTTATTGCTCTGGGATAAATGCCTAGAAGTGCAATTACTGGGTCATATGGTAATTGCATGTTTAGTTAAAAAACTGCCAAGCTGTTTTCCAGAGTGGCTGTACCATTCTGCATTCCTACCAGCAACGTACGAGTGATCCAATTTCTTCACATCCTTTCCAACATTTGTCGTTGCCACTACCTTTTTTTTTTTTTTAGCCATTCTGATAAGTGTGTAGTGATATCTCATTGTGGTTTTAATTTGAAGTTCCTACTGGCTAATGTTGTTGAACATCTTTTCATGTGCTAATTTGCCATCTGGGGATCTTCTTCGTGAAATGTTTCTTCATGTCTTTTGCCCATGTTCTAATTTGATTATTTGCTTTTTTATTGTTGAGTTTTGAGAGATCTTTATATATTCTAGATACTAGTCCTTTTTTGGGTTTGTGGTTTACAAATATTTTCTCCCAGTCTGTAGCTTGTCTTTTCATCCACTTAACAGGGTCTTTCACAAAGCAAAAGTTTTTCATTTCAATCAAGTCCAAATTATCAATTTTTCCTTCTATAGATTGTGCCAAGTCTAAGATCTCTTTGCCTAGCCCTGCATTCTGAAGATTTTCTCCTATGTTTATTCTAAAAGTTCTATAGTTTTCTTTTACATTTAAATCTGTGATCCATTCTGAGTTAAATTTGGTAGGAGGTGTGAGACTTGGGTTGACGTGGAGGTTTTTTTTGTTTTTATGGAGGGGCCTACAGATGTCCAATTGTTTCAGCACCATTTGTTGAAAAGGCTCTCTTTCTTTCGCAACTTTGACAAAAATCAGTTGGATCTATTTTGGGTTCTCTGTTCTGTTCCATTGATCTGCGTGTCCATCCTTCTGCTGATAGCACACAGTCTTGATTACTCTAGATATGTAATAAGTCTTGAAATCAGGTAAACTAATTCCTCCCACTTTATTATTTTTCAAAATTGTTTTAGCTATTTTAGTTCCTTTGCCTTTCCATATAAATTCTAGAATATACTTATCTATATGTACAGAAAACCTTGCTGGGATTCTGACAGAAATTGCATTAAACCTATTTATCAGTTTGGGAGCAATTACATTTTTACTAAGTTGAATCTTCCAATCCAAGAACACAGTATGTCTCTCCATTTGTTTAGATCCTTGATTTCTTTCACGAGCATCACATAGTTTTAGCATACAAGTCCTAGACATGTTTTGTTAGATTTACACCTAAGTATTTTATTTAATTATTTTTGGTGATTTTAAATGGTATTGTATTTTTAATTTTGCTACTCATGTTCATTGCTAGTATATGGAAAGAAACTTTTTTTGGTATGTTTATCTTATATTTTGCAACCTTGCTGAACTTACTTGTTAGTTCTAGGAGTTTGGGGTTTTTGGGCTAGATTTCTTGAGATTTTCTACATAGATAATCATGTCATCTGCATACAGACATTTTTATCTCTTCCTCTCCTATCTGTATGTCTTTCACTTCCTTTTCTTGCCTTATTGCACTGGCTAGAACTTTCAGCACTATGTTGAATAAGAATAGTGAGAGCAGACATCCTTGCCTTGTTCTTTTTTTTTTTTTTTTTTGAGGAAGATCAGCCCTGAGGTAACATCCATGCTAATCCTCCTCTTTTTGCTGAGGAAGACCGGCTCTGAGCTAATATCCATTGCCAATCCTCCTCCTTTTTTTTTCCCCTTTTTCTCCCCAAAGCCCCAGTAGATAGTTGCATGTCATAGTTGCACATCCTTCTAGTTACTGTATGTGGGACGCGGCCTCAGCATGGCCAGAGAAGCGGTGTATTGGTGCACACCCGGGATCCGAACCTGGGCTGCCAGTAGCAGAGTGCACACACTTAACTGCTAAGCCACGGTGCCGGCCCTCTTGCCTTGTTCTTGGTCTTAGCAGGAAAGCATTCAATTTCTTGAGTGGAGTGTTCTATAGATATCAATTAGATCCTGTTGACTGATGGTGTTGTGGAGTTCTTCTCCATCCTTGCTGATTGTCTCTCTAGTTGTCCCATCAACAGATGAGAGAGGGGTGTTGATGTGTTCAACTATTCTGGCGGATTTGTCCATTTCTCCTTTCAGTTCTATCAGTTTTTGTTTCACATATTTTGCAGTTGTGTTGTTTGATGCATACACATTTAAGATTGCTATGTCTTCTTGGTAGATTAACCTTTTTATTATGATATACTGTTCCTCTCTGTCTCTGTAATCTTTTTTCCTCTGAAGTCTAGGCACTCCTGCTTTCCTTCAATTAGTGCTTGCATGATATATCTTTTTCCATTCTTTAATTTTCAACCTGCCTGTATCATTATATTTGAAGTGAGTCTCTTCGAGATAGCATATAGTTGGTTCATGTTTTATAATCCAATCTGTAAATATCTGTCTTTTAATTGGTGTTTTTAGAACATTTGCATTTAATGTAATTATTGATATGATAAAGCTTATCAATAGATCGATAGAGCGATCTGACATTTTATTTTTTGTTTTCTGTTTATTCTGTTTTTCATTTCTCTTTTCTTTTTCCTGCCTTCCTGTGAATTACTTGAACAGTTCTTAGAATTCCATCTTGATTTACCTACTATGTTTTTGAATGTCTCTCTTTGTATAGCTTTTTAGTGGTTGCTCTAGGTATTATATTACACCTGCATAACTTATCACAGTCTACTGGCATGATCCTTTTGCCACTCTGAGTGAAGTATAGAAATCTTACCTCCCTTTAGGTCCCTTTACCATCCCCAATTTGTAATACAATTGCCTTTAAATTTTCCTCTTTATACATTTAGAACCACATCAGACAGTGTAATAGTTTTTGCTTTAACTGTCAGACATAATTTAGAAAACTTCAGAGAAGGAAGAAAGTCTATCGTATTTACCCATATTTTTGCTTTCCATGTTCTTTCATCCCTCCTGATGTTCCAAAGTTCCTAAAGAATTTCCTTTAGTCACTTTTTTTTAGGGTAGGTATAAAGTCTCTTAGTCTCCCTTCATCTGAAAATGTCTAGATTTGCCCTTATCCCTGAAGAACATTTTCAGTGGCTATAGGAGTCCAGGTTTTCAGCTCTTGAAAAATATTGTGCCTCTTCCCTCTGGCCTCCATTGTTTTTGATGAGAAATCTACTGTCATTTGAATTGTTTTTGCCCTATATGTAAGGTATTGTTTTTCTCTGGATACTTTCGAGATTTTCTTTTTCTCTTTACCTCTAGTTTTCAGAAGTTTAATTATGATGTGTCTTGGAGTGGCTTCTTTGGGATGCCCTCTTTGACATTCATTCAGCTTCCTGAATCTGTAGGATTATATCCCTTACCAAATTTGGGAAGTTTTCAGCCATTATTTCTACAAGTACTTTTTCAGCCCTGCCTTCTTTCTCCTCTCCGTCTGGGACTCTGATGATACAAATATTAGATCTTTTGTTATAGTCCCACAACTCCCTGAGGCTCTGTTCCTTTTTATTTTTTTTCAGTCTATATTCTCTCTGTTGTTCAAATCGGGCAATTTCTATTGTTCCATCTTCCAGTTCACTGATACTTTCCTCTGTCTCCTTTGTTCTGCTGTTGAGCC